TTTTTTTTATAATATTAAAAATATCTGTATGACATTATATTCTGCAGTTCTTCCCTGTTGTACCGAATATCTATACTTTTCAAATTATCATATCGAAGTTAGAGATTCAAATATTGTGACAATTAATTTTGTAGGGTGCCACAAGTTTGTTAAAATTTCCAAAGGGTGCCGTGACTAAAAAAAGTTTGGGAAACACTGTTCTAGAGTTTGGGAGCCAAAAGCTCTACCTCCTTCAGTGGACTTTTGCTATCCTAGGTACTACCAAAAATCCAGAGTTTTGCGACCTTAGGGAGCGTGATGGATTGTAGCGTGGTAGAAGACTAGTTAGGTACGCAGGAGCTAACCCATTAAGGGCCTTATAGGCAAGTAATAATATTTTGTAACTGATACGTAACTTAATAGGTAGCCAGTGCAGATGACGATGATGGCTGCACGTGTTTCTTTGGAGGTAACCATTGCAAACAAGAACACAATGATTGGAAGTGCTTCTTCCCTCCTTTTATAGCAATCAGTCTGCTCTTACAATCTATTTAGTATGATAGTGATTTGACCTGACTAGTACTCATTCACACTTTCACATGTGTTGCCGATATGATTAGTCAATTAATGTTAGCTGGTCATTGTGTCAGGATCAAAAAACAGTGAAATGTGTTTTGTTTTTTTTGTGAAAAGTTCGTTTTTTGGCCAATTAAGCTTTTAGCAATTATTTCAAATGCATCTGATCACTCTACACAATAATCTAAAAACAATGTGAATGAACACAACAGCTTAAGCAGCAAACTTTGCAAAACACAAAATTTATGTCACAGCCAAAACTTTTGGCCATGACTGTAGATGGTGACTGTGGATGCCATTCTACCTAACATTTCTAGTCCTGTTCTTCGGTTTGGAAAAAATATGAAGATGAGTAAATCTTCTGGGTGAACATAACCATTTTGCTATAGGGTATAACTTTACATTCAGACTTAAAATTATATTATGACTTTTTTGATTATTTTTACAATACATGAATGCATTGTACAACCATTTAAGCACTAGGACAAGTCTCAAGCTTTACATTATTAGACATCATAATATTTTCTACTTTTATAATTTTACCACATTGTGAACCCAAAGACAGTAATAAAACTGGCAACATCAACTATTATTTCAACAGGACAGAGGCATTATAGCAGGAAAAACAAAACAAAATTAGTATAGTTGTGTTGAATAATTTCAGAAGTGTAGTGCCAACAGATATTATCTTTAAAACACTGCATTATATCAACTCTAACAGTACATAATACATCTAGACACACTTCAAAAAATGAGAATACTCATATAGCAGCAAACAAATGGGTCTGCCATTTAATGTGCATAAATAACATTTAAACTTGAATGAGTTCAACTTATCTAGCTTCAACTCCCAAAACACTTCATGTTGCAAGTTTCCCTGAGAAGAGTGAAAGTCTCATTGGTCTTTCCATTTAAATAACTGAAGCCATTGAGGTGATTTTCCAGAAAACAATATGTGACCCTGGACCACAAAACCAGCCATAAGGGTAAATTTTTGACGAGATGAAAGCTCGTCATCTGAAAGCTGAATAAATAAGCTTTCCAATGATTTATGGTTTGTTAGGATAGGACAATATTTGGCCGAGATACAACGATTTGAAAATCTGGAATCTGAGGGTGCAAAAAAATAAAAATATTGAGAATTAAAAAAAATAAAAAACTTTAAAGTTGTCCAAATGAAGTTCTTAGCAATGCATATTACTAATAAAAAATTACGTTTTGATATATTTACAGTAGGAAATTTACAAAATATCTTCATAGAACATGATCTTTACTTAATATCCTAATGATTTTTGGCATAAAAGAAAAATCTATAATTTTGACCCATACAATGTTTTTTTGGCTATTGCTACAAATATACCCCAGCGACTTAAGACTGGTTTTGTGGTCCAGGGTCACATATGTATTTGTTCTTTGCAAGTCACATTCTGTAAAATATTTGAATACAGTAATGATAATATAGGTTGCTATGAGTGGTCAATTGTCCTCTTTAGTCTTGCTGAATGATCCAAGTTGTTTAGTATTTACATCTTTAAGCAGTTCGAGTTGGCGTTGGGCTCGCCGATAAAGATATTCTATGTGCATGACGTCAGTCTTCTTGATGGCAGCATTGGCACGGAACTCATCACGTATTCTCGGTATGAAGCCCGGCTTGTCCTGAGCTGCGAGCAGAAACTGCCGATACAGGGTTAAGACCTGTTTCTGGAGTTTGCTATGGCGTACCATAGTGTGCTGGATCATAAACTCACAACAGTCTTGACAGGAAAGACAGTGGTTTCTTCAGTCTGCGAAGGGAAGTAATGTAGTAAGTGCACTGCATTATGTTTCATAAGATCAGCAAATGGGTAGTTGATGTCGCATTTCAGTAACAGCAGTTTTTGATCTCATATTAATTAACAGACTACATGGATTTTTTTTCTTCAAAAATGTATTTGTCACACCACATGAAGTGAACTGCAAATTAGGCAAGAGGCAAAGCCCCTGTTTTTTCCAGCACTAGTCAACTAGTACAACGAAAACATCCAAAATACACACTTACGTTTTTATATTATTACACTTTAACTATTTGCATCTGTAGATTTCAGTTTCTTACAAGGCATTTCTCAAATGATTTTTTTCTCATGCACTGAGGAGCCAGAAATCTCTACTTTAATAGCACTTACATAGACCAGACTTTCCAGTTTTATTCCTGTCAGTATTCTGAAATATTCATATATCATTCAAATGATATATAAAACATTTTATTCCTAATACATGAAGAAAAAATTATTTTATTTTTGGTTGTTGACAGTATTTAATGATTTATGGAGCAATAAAAAGAGATATTAAAAATACCACATGCATGTATGATATCTATTAGCCTTTTTTTACGTACATTCATAGAAATGTAGATCTAAATCCTAAATGGCCATGTCGCGTTTTTCTATGTGCTTGAAAAATCTGATGTTTAAAATAGTTTTGGATTTACAGCATGTCACACTACTGGACACTGCTAAAACTGCCTGAAATTGCACATCAAGCATCCTTATTTACATGACTCAGAACACTTACATACACCAGACTTTCCAGTTTTATTCCTGTCAGTATTCTGAAGTATTCATATATCATTCAAATGATATATAAAACATTTTATTCCTAATACATGAAGAAAAATGTATTTTATTTTTGGTTGTTGACAGTATTTAATTATTTATGGAGCAATAAAAAGAGATATTAAAAATACCACATGCATGTATGATATCTATTAGCCTTTTTTTACGTACATTCATAGAAATGTAGATCTAAATCCTAAATGGCCATGTCGCGTTTTTCTATGTGCTTGAAAAATCTGATGTTTAAAATAGTTTTGGATTTACAGCATGTCACACTACTGGACACTGCTAAAACTGCCTGAAATTGCACATCAAGCATCCTTATTTACATGACTGTAACAAAAAACACATGGCTGTAAAAATAATGACAGCAACACCTTACCTCATCAGCGCGAGATGTAATTGGTAACTGTTATAACACCCAGACTCATCATAGCTGTTTATTATTTGTTCTAAGTCAAAAATGTCTTCACAATGACAGCAGAGTCATGTATAAACTGTAAGTTCCCGATATGACCTGTCCTGTGTGTTTTCTAACTGGTGCTGACGTCATGAAACGCTGTACGCGCCTGATACACTGTCACCTAGTGGCCAGGCTGTATAGCAACACACAAGACAAGGCCGACCAGCCTCAATGTTCCTCCTTTATTTAGACAATAAAAGCCGTCCACATCATATCTGCAACTGAAAAATATTCAGTATTACAATACAAAACAAATATATTAACATATTCAAGTCACTGATGCAAGTCTTTTCAGACAAGTCAAAAGGCCTTTCAAGGTCAAATTTAAGTGAAGACTCAAGTCTAGGTCCTTTTTTATGAGTTCAAGTCAAGTTTTAAATTCC